GTCATTCTCTAACGTAATCTGGACGAGGGTGTCAAACAGCGTGATGTTTGCAAAGCGGCCAGAGTACTCTTCTAGAGTACTCAGCAGGTTGATCGAACGGACCCCGATGCCCTGTTGTGCTACTGTCGAATACGTTCTCGTAATGGATGAGATACACTGAAAAGCTGATATTCACTTGCGCGCTCGAAGAGTTCATTTAAAGTAGAGGAGTGATCCGTTGTACTGTAGCTCCTTTGGAATACTGACTGTTTTCTTGATCGTTGTTCGTCCATGCTTATTGACAGCCCGTTGGTGATGGTTTCAGAGAACGGCTTGTAGATTTATAAGAGCCATCAGATTGGGTAGTAGTTCTACAGATCCTTCCTTCCGCCCTTATCGAACACATGATTGCTCTTGGCTACTTCTAGCTTGACGGTATTTTCCCGTTCCACGTTGCAGCTGAGCCTGTTTGCTAGAACCTTCTACAGCGTCGGACCACCTGATCCGATTATTTTGATTCACGGACTGTCTTACTGCAGCGGTCCTTCTTTCATTTGCTGCGTTGCTTGCCAAACTTTGCTCAAGCAGACAGGAAGTGCGCTTCTTTTTGGCTGTTGGAGTGACAATAGGGGGGACGCATATCTCTGATGCAAAGAGCTAGCTGCAAATATTCTTGCAGATAGACTGCATTTCAGCTCTGTCAGATTTTTCTGTTCTTCAACTCCATTATGGTCGATTGATGAACCGCTAATTCGTTGCTGCATTGTCTGCGGCTCCTGTGATCTTCTGCTGTTTTCTCTAAATTTTGCAACAGGAAGATCTTGAACTCATACTTCTGTTGCTTTCCCTGAGTCTGCAGGGAAGACAGAACTCCATCTTATCGATCCCTTCTCTTTTCATTCTTCTCCGCTTCTCTAGCTAAATCCATATATCTTCTGCGGTGCTCTCGTCTTTCCTTCTATTTCAGGTTAATGCCTTATTCGACTTCGCCCAGGACCCCAGTTTCTTATCGAACATCTGTCTCCGTCTTCGCATCTGCCTTTTAGGCTCCAGTCTTCACTTCGCGCTTGGAGAACCGCCTTCTCGATGTTCGCCCTGAAGGTTAGCCTCGCCAACACTAGTTTTCTGCCACTTCCGGTGTAAAGTGATTGTATTGCTGCCATGTTTCTGATGATGTTGCGTTTATGGAACAGACGAAGTCGATCACGTTCATCGTCGCCGCGTTGGAGCGATCCATGTTTATCTCGTGTCGATCTTCTTCCTAAACCAGTGTATGGGTTTTTTTTGTTTCTACCATGGTCACCAGCCAATCTTCTAACTTACTTAGATGTCTAGTGCATATCTCCGATGAACAGCTCACCAGTCATCTATCATTGTACTATGGCTGTGACGTCTCCCATAGAGAGGGTATTGATAAATGTTGATAACAGTGTCTGGTCCAGTTCTTGATGGAATTCTTCTACTGCTCCCTCGTCGATTGTACTTGTGGGGCCGAAATTTGGAGGATCTCCAGTTTCTCTTTTTCTTTAGTTGGAGGCACTGCATGTCCAGTCTTAGTGACTTCAGTTGACAGGGCAAGTTCCTGGAGTTCCAGGTTTCGATGACAGCAAATCTGATTCCTCCTATGTTCTTCGCACTATTTACTCTTCTCCGCCTAAGTGAGAACATATCTCTTTACAGTGACTTTAATGCCGCGTTGTCTCTGCCCTTCAGTCAGCTGTTAGAAAAATAGGTTAAATAGATTGCCAAAATGTATATTAATCTGATGGAAGATGTAGTTGATTAAGGAAAGAATGGTTAGAAGCCATTTTCCCAGGATTCTAGCCATCGCTTTTCTAGTATATTATCATTGGAGCCAATTTATTTATTTCTTTTCGAACAAAAGAAATATTAGTTCATCGTTTGAAAAATGGAACATGTACAGTTGATCAACGTTATAACCAATTATTCGCTCAGTTGTCATCCGCGGCTTGCAAAGTAAAAGCCTTGGTTTATCATAGTTTTTACGTGGATATGTAAGGTGCTTCCCCCACATCTTCCGTACTGGTCTGTAATGAGAATGTTTTTGTCTTTGACAGAGCTGCCTTGAAAGATATGAGGTGATCGATCAACGTCGGTTAGCAGAACCTACTGGTCTACCGTTTTAGATTTAAAGCCAAATCTTCAGGGCTACGCTAGCGGCTTATGAAATTATACGGAGTATTACTTTCCTGTGCAACGTGATCCCATTTTATAGCCGCTTTTTCGTCCCATTCAGAAACGATCATGTTAGATTTCAGAAAATATGAACAACTATATCTTCATTCATTTTCTAAGTCTATTATCCCTTTTGGGGCTGAGAAGACTACTGCAAGATCGCTTTCAATAGCTCTGATCTGCTGGTTAAACGAATAGCTTTAATGGTCTAGATTCAGAGGTGTTAAAATGCTTGATCTTCAATATAATCGAGCTATCTGATCCGCGGCCTAACCATGGATCGCATTTCTTGATGGATTCCTGATGGATTTGCCAAGTTTAACTACGGTTTTACAGATTTTAAAGCGAATACATCGATGTATACTGGGCGAATCTTAAATCGGTTCGTCTCCAATAAGTCTGATGGTTTCCGTTAAAAATCTCCTAAACCTCGAGGCTTACTTCGCCACGGTTGTAGTAATGCAACTTCGAGAACGGTTAAAACTCTGGGCTATGTGCAAAATCTGAATTTAAATCAATCTGATTCAGATTGACTTTCGATTCACACTTTTCGCAGAC